GTTTCTTGCAAATGCTTAAGGCGGTCACCTACATTCAAATACTTAACAAGCATATCATCTATATAAACTTCCATGGTCTTTCGTATTTGTTTTTGAAACATCTTATTTACGAGCCGTTGATAAGTGACTCCGGCGTTCTTCAACCTGCAGGGCATTACATTGTAACAATATGTACCAAAATTTATTATAAACGAAGTCTTTTTCTGATCCTCCGGGTTCATTTTAATTTGGTTGTACCCGAAATAAGCATCAAGGAAACTCATTAACTCGTGCCCCACCATGGCATCAATTATTTGATCGATATTTGGCAGTGGAAATGAATCTTTCGGGCACACCTTATTAAGATCTTTATAGTCTACACACATACAAAATTTATTGTTCTTCTTAGGAACTACTGCTACATTGGATAGCCAGTCTGGATATCTTACCTCTCTGACCGAACCAATTTTAAGCAAGCGGGTTACCTCTTCTTTGATGAATTTATTCCTGGCCTCGGCAATAGAGATCTTCTTCTGTCATACCAGTGGTACATTGGGATCCAAACTCAGCTTGTGCACAGCTACTTCCGTCGGGATACCTGCTATATCCTCGTGCGACCATGCAAAATAATCAGCGTTAATTTTAAGGAATTTAATAAAACCAGACCTGAGCTCGGGGTGCAGTCCTGTTCCCAAGTAAAATTTTCTTTCTAAAAATTCTTCAACAGTGACACTTTCTCTAGTTCCTCTGTCGTGGATTTCGTTGCATCCGTTTCTTCAGGAATTTGGAAATATCCCGGCACTTGATATTATTCTGACGATTTTCCCCTGGAATAACCTCTTCTAACTCGAGATTAGGCGCCAGTTCCTGTAATTGCTGTGCCGTGAGCTCTTTACCTTTGCTGCTGGAAACTGAGAGTGCATTCATCTCCCTTACCGCCAGTTGGTCACCTCTTATCTTCTTGATTCATTCGGGCATTGGAAATTTCAATAATTGGTGATACGTCGAAGGTCCGGCTTTCATCTCGTGTAGCCATGGACTTCCTAAGATGATATTGTATCCCATATCACCGTCCACTACTTCAAAGAGAGTTGTTTTCATTACTCATTCAGCATTCGTGAGCAGCATGATCTCTCCTCGGGTCGTCATGCTCGCAAGGTTGAATCCATCGAGGAGTTTTGTTGCCGAAATAGTGCTTCCGATGAGTTTAGCTTGTTCCAATACCCTCCATTATATGATATTAGCCAAACCTTTTGGATCCACTAGAACACGCTTAATTTTAAAATCTAACACATTTAAAGAGATTACCAGTGCATCATTGTGTGGTAACAGTAATCCGTTTGCATCTTCCTCCATGGAAGTGATATTGTCCTCCTGGAATCTTTTGCTGTGAGTTATCGATATTTTAGTCTTCTTTGTCGCCGAAAAGGTGACCCCATTAATTTTGTTCCCCCCCAAAGATCATATTGATCGTCTGGTGTGGGGCTTCTTCTCCTGCTTTCGAAGATTCCACATTGTTGCGACCGTAATTGTTCTTAGCTCGATCACTCAAGAACTCTTGGAGATGACCATTCTTTAATAGTGTTTCCATCTCCTCCTAAAAATGTCGGCAGTCCCATGTCCGGTGACCGTTCGTTCTGTGGTATTCACATCATAAATTGAGACCCCTCTGGTTGGAATCGGACCTCATAGGTTTCGGGAATCGTGCTTATTTAATATTCCTCATATTTGACACCAGTTCCACTACACTGACGTTGAAGTTATATTCTGACAACCTGGAGTAAGAAAGGTCTCGAGTCCCCGACGTTTGCTTATCTTGAAGCAATCTATTATTTCGACCACGATCAGTCCCTCCATCAGCGGTGAACTTGTTTGCTGCTCGAAAATTTCTGCCATGGCCTTCGGTACGCTCGTAGGGCAAAAACCGACCCCTCGAAGTCCGCCTATCCGCATCGTAGTCATCCTTTGATTTTTCTCTATTCCTCTCCCGTCCTTTGGCTGATGATGTAGAACCGACCTGGTCATCTTCGATCTTTATCTTTGACTCGTACCGGTTATGAACATCTACCCAGGTCATTGCTTGAAACTCAAGCAGGCTTTCCTTCAATTTTCGGAAAGCGTCTGAACTTCTTGGATTCAATCCTTTGGTGAATGATTCAGCTGCCCATTCATCCGGGATGACCGGGAGCAACATTCATTCTTTTTGGAATCGGGTGACAAACTCTCGTAACAATTTTGATTCTCTTTGTGCGATTCTGAATATGTCGGCCTTCCGAGCTTGCACCTTTCTGGCCTCGGCATAAGCTTTAATGAAAGAATCTGCGAGCATCTCAAAGGAATCTATGAAATGCTCGGGCAGTAATGAATACCACGTTAGGGCTCCCCTCGTGAGATTTTTACCAAATTTCTTTAGCAACACATATTCGATTTCGTGAGGCTCTTGATCATTTCCTTTCGCCGCCGTTGTGTAGGTGGTAATATGTTCCTGTGGGTCTGAAGTTCCATCATACTTTGGAACTTCAGGCATTTTGAAATGCTTCGGGATCTGTACTGGTGCCGCACTTGGCTTGTATGGTAATTGAACATACTTCTTCCAGTTCGGGCCTTTCAATACTGGTGGTGCACCCGAGATTTGATCCACACGGGTGTTTACTTCCCTCATGAAACGTAAAAGCTCATCTTTGGATGAATCGTTCTCATTATTAAGACCTGATCTGCCCCCCCAGTCCCATCAGAGCCAACTTCACCCCTAGAGGTGTTGTTATCGACTCTCTGTGTTGTTTGGTCTGCGGGAACAACAAGAGGAATCAGATCTTGCCTGTTTGCATTATTCGAAGCACCTAATAGTGCCTGCTTCAGTTCCGTCAAAACCTGATCCTGTCGCGTGAGATAGCCTAGGATGATTGTCTGTTGCTCTTGCAGGATCCTCACAGCATCCGCTACTTGCTCCTCGTCAACATCATCTGGAGTTCTTTTCCGAACCTGTCGAGGGTACCGTCTGTCATGCACTGGCGTGGCGTCATTCTCCTCATTGCGGGTGTCACAAATTTAGTCCTCGTAATGAGTCGATCCCCTCGAATTTCAGGGTTGTGTGCATCGTTAACAATGTTATCTGTCATTTTTTACAATTTTTTCTAAGACAAAATAGTCAAAATACGTTAGTAAAAAAGGCAAGGATCAATTTAATTACACGGCTGTCTAGGCCCCACGGTGGGCGCCAAACTGTTTACCCGTAGAATGGTACAGTTGAATTTATACGTGATTTTTAGACAAGTGAATTAATTTGATCCTGAAATAATATAATAATCGAAGAAATACATAACACTTAGCCTTAGAATGTAGATGAAATAGCAAAGATAGTGATTCTATGAGCACGGTTTCCGGACACAACAATGATGAGATCAAAAAGCAAGAGAGTGAATTTGTATAAAGCTTTGTAAAATATAGTATATGTTCTTGCGAGAAATTTTGTGTCCTTTACAATGGTAACTGAGCTCACTATTTATAGTTATGCCTAGGGAAAGAGGTCTTATGATCGTTCCCTCCTTTAATGCCAATTATGAGGGTCATTGATGAATATGTAACATTGAGCATAAATACCAAATTCTCTGTAACGGATCGTCGCTCTTAATGCTATAGAATATTCCTTAGTAAATGCTACCGGGCGCAGGGCATTTAATACACTTTTATGAACGTTATCCGTTCTGGTGACAAACGCATTGGCTGCATTCAGTCCTCAGCCATTCCATCTTGGATTCCACATATCCTCCTTTTAGTTAGCCACGTGTCATATCATATTTTACCCTATACAAAGTGACAACCCATGTTTTGATTTTGGTGGTTAAACTTAAAACCTTCAATTGTGTATAATTCCCTCGCAACATTGCGTTTTAACAAGAGGTTTCAATATTTTTTGTTTCCTTCGCACAAACGTGGCACATTGGGCTAGTTACGATCCCTTTATTACATAAGAGTTGATCGAACTTTGAATGACTAGAAACTAGCATTCATCTTAAACAATCTTCCCCAAAGTAATAAAGTCCATGCGGAAGCACTATTTGGTTACTTGAAAAGTGAAGAAGATGAGCTAAAACTCCATTGAGAGCCATTGAAGCTCATTTAAACTTGAGTTTAAAAATTAGTGTTTTTGAAATTAGAATTTATTTCGAGTGAATATTGTTGGAATAGATTGGGTGTATCTCAAGGAGTTTGAATATCTATTTTGGGACGATTTGGTGGAGAGTTGGGGTGATTTGAATTGAAATTTGAGCCAAATTCAAAGTAAAAGATAAACATGGAAGAATATGAGATGTGTCTCGCCTGTAAATCCCACATGTATCACTTGTATCTTATATGTATCTATCGTGCATCCCTTGTGTATTCATACATACATGTGTGTGAGATACATGTGTCCTAGAGAAGAACTCTATTTTAACTACGAATTTTGACTGCAAACTAGTCCAAAACTATCTCCAGTCTTCCTCAAATTTGTAACTTTTGCGGCAAAAAATAATTAACTAGTAAAAATGGTTAAGTGATAGTAAATATTTTATTTTTTGAGAGGTTCCTGAATAATTAAGATTAAGATCTAAAAAAATAAATGCACTTAATGGGCTATATCTAAAAAGAAAAAATTACGCGACACATCAAACATTTATAATGAATTTACCATTCATAGCTAAACTTTCAGCAAATTTATCATTCGTAGCTATATTTGATTTTCATAATAAATCCATGAAATAAGAGATTACTTGTTTTGAACTGAAACAAGAGAGCAACAAGCTCTCGTAGCTCAGTTAGTAAGAGCGCCCGCTTAGTTAGCGGGTGTCTTGAGTTTAACTCTCAATAAGAGCATTTTATTTTACTTATTCGTTGTGCAAATAAATATAGTTGACACGGATAATGAGGCCTCTTGGACTTTGGGCCCATGGGTTCAAAATCACAAAAGCCCACATTCATTACGAAATCGGGTATGCATAGCTGAATAGGATAAACCCATCCACCTAATCCGAAGTCGGCAAAGTAAGTTATAAGCCTTGCAATTTTGACGCTCAACTCATTGAAGCTGTTTTTGCGTAGCAACATCTGTTCCCCTCCATCGAAACCAAGTTGTAAGTATCTCTCTCTCTCTCTCTCTCCTCCATATTTTGCGAATGGCCAGAAACCCTAGTATCTGATTTTTGGATGATTTCTGCTTTGTCCATTTGGATTGAGAAAGCCTGCTCAGATTCGTATTTCTTTGCGATCTTTTATAATATAATTTTCCAATTATTTTCTGTTTCCCATGTATCAATCTTTCTTTCTGAATTAGGAAAAAAGGAAAAAAAAGGAATAGGGTTGTCAAAGATAGAATAATATCTTTTCCTTTGATATGTAGGATGCATATCCTTTAAGTAACTAATTAACCTACTAGAATATCTAAGCAAGCATTTAACATCGATTGATTTTGAAGTACACTAATACCTCCCGTAATTAGTTATTCTGTTCACTTAGACCCGTAATTGAATAAGAATGCACGACTTTGGTTTTCCTGGGTTTCGGAATGAAATGGGGCTGAGTAGATGCTACGAATTATATAGCTGACACCAACTAGCTTGGGATTGAGGCGTTATCTTTTGATTTTTACTTGGGGATGCACTGTACTTGGAAGAGTATAAATTGTATTGAAAAATGTGGTTGAAAGAATATACTTTAATTACTTTAATGTTTGGATGGTTTTTGGCTATCTTTTCACTAACCTTAATGCTTTGTGATGTTCTCTAGTTTTCTGTCCACGGTACTGGTAGAGATTAAGGTTACCTTGAAGAGGGGACTCTTCTTTGTTGAGTGCCAATATCATGGCATCTTCTAAGAATGAGGAAAGTGGTGCTCAGGATGCAGCAGAAAGGATTAAGGTTGCAGCCTTGTCAGCTGCAAAGGGTTTGAGCCGTGCTCAGGCTGAGCGCGCCGCCACTGCTGCTGCTAGAAATGTCAATGCATATGGCCAGAAGGAAGAAGGACCCAGTCGATGGCAGGAAAGAAAAGAAGCAAAGAGGCAGATGTATTTGATGACTACTGAGAAACAGGTGAGATTGGGTGAAAGGAAAGACCTCAAGGCTTCAGGTTCCACCGTTGCTGCAGCTTCTCAATGTCAGAAATGTTTCCAGTCAGGGCACTGGACTTATGAGTGCAAGAATGAGAGGGTTTACATATCACGACCATCTCGGACACAGCAGCTGAAAAATCCAAAACTGAGGATGAAAGTATCAATATCTTATGATCTAGAAAACCCAGATATTGAGAAGGAGAGGAAGAGTGAAAAATCTGTGAAGAAGAGTAAGAGGAAGCATAAGTCAGATACAGAGTCCGGGAGTGATAGTGAGGCTTCAGTGTTTGAATCTGACAGTGAGGCGTCATCAGTGACAAGGTCCGATGATTCTTCTGGGGAAAGTGAATCAAGTTATAGTTCTTCAACTGATTCAGAGGAAGAGAGGAGGAGGAAGAGGAAGAAGAAGAAGCAGCAGAAGAAGAGAAGACACCGGAAATACAGCTCAACCTCTGAGTCTTCTGATTCATATTCAGATTCTGGGTCTGATTCTGAAGAGCGAACTAGCCGTAAGAAGAGCAGCAGGAGGCATACCAGAAAGCGGTGAAGCATTGAACAATATGAGTAATCAGATGTCTGGTATCTGGTTCTTTAACCTTGAAAATATTGATATTTCTGTTCTCATGTGATAAAAGAACTAGGATTTGCTGTTTCAAACGAATATGATTTTACTGTAAGCTTATCTTGTGGATGTAGAATTCAGCGTGGCAAGAGTTGTCTCTTGTATTTTCTTTTTTCCATGTTGCTGGCTTACTCATTTCCCAGCTCGTATTTGACTGTTTTTCTTGTCTCTTGCCTGCTTGATATTGTCCTACTTATTTAACTTTCGCAGAGTTGTCCTTTTCTGGAGTTGGACTTCAATGTTAAACTTGTACCATGTGGCTTTGACCTTACCGGTAATTAGTTGGACTTGCCAAGAGAAATTGTCTGTAGCATTTGATGATTTTGCAGTTGGTTAGTTACTGCTATGTCTTGCATAACTTGAGCCAGCCTATTGGAGGAAGTCTAGAACTTATTGCCTGCTTTCTTAGTACTTGTCTTGTTCCTTGAAGGGAAAAACTAGTCAATTGCAATTGATCCAAGTAAAGATTCCTCCATAGGACAGATTTTAACTCTTATATTGTTGACCTTGACTGATAGTTTAATAGTGACTACGATCAACTTTGATGTCATACTTGAGTTGGAGGGCTTTCCCTCCCATCTGTCGAGTCAAGTAATTGGTTATCTCATCTTTTCCGCCTATTTTCTTCTTTTTTTCTTTTGGGATTATTTTATGTTTAGGGGAGTAGATATTTGATTGTTGGGTCATCCGAAGACCTTCCTCTTTATTGTTATCCGTATTCTGTTGTCTGTGTGACAATTGGTATGCATTGCCGGTCTCGGGTCATGGTTAGTGCTGTTGATGACTTAATTTCTTGTGGTATGCATTTTCCAGATGACTCATCAGGCGCTCGATACTTGTCCTCTTAGTTACTCTTGCCTACTAAGCAATCCTATGATCTAATTAAATCTGTGAAGATTGAGGTTATGCCTAGCTATAGTCATGCCCAGTAGCAGTGACTAGGGTAATTTATTTGCTGATATTGTGTCGTATCTTGTGTTTAGTTGCAAAATAAGGCCTGGACACAATTTTACTGGGCAGTTCCCTTGAATTTCTTATTCTTTGCCACTACTCAGTAATAGTTTTTCAGGAGCACAATACAACTCTTTTATCCCTTGGATCAAGCACTCCCTTCCCTTTTATGTCAAAACTTCTTATCCAGAAAAGTGAGGATTATAGATGCTATTTACCGATGATGGATTCTTTATTTCTATTGCAGTCAATGATATGTCTTCTGTTCGCTTTTGAACAAGTACTGTTAGCATGTGCAAACATAAAATTGTTTACAAGTTTCCCGTGAATTTGCTGCTTTCTTTTTTTCGGTTTTCATTTTTGCATTCTGCTATTTTCTATGTATCGTGTAAGTTGGGAAGTTATAAGCTCTTCTTGGAGTTATGTAACCTACACAATTTTTTTTAATGCTAGTATAGTTTAACTTGTTTTAGCGTTTAGTTAGTGGTGGCAAAATGGTTAAAAGAAAACAGTTATCCACCTATTTTATCAATTAAAAAATGGGTAGAATAATGAACTTTTTTAAAATGGGTCAAATATGGATAAGAACTATATTATCCATTTAGAAAATAGATAACAAATGAATAATTAATGGTTTTAACTTTTACATTTGTAAAGCCTCAAAATTGGGGTTCCTAAAGTTTGGGAGACTAGAAACTCTTCAGAAGTGATCATATTCAAGAAGTCATGTTAATATGGATATTCATTATCTGTTTTCGATTGGCTCATATATGACCCGACCCACCCGTTTGCCGCCACTACATGTGCTTATCTAATTATGCCGACCACCAAAGTAAAAAAATTATTCCCCCTTCGTTTTAATTTATGTGAACTTATTTAACTAGTCACGAAATTTAAGAAAGAAAGACTTTAAAACTTGTGGCCTTAAACAAACTATAACATTTCTGTGCTTATAATTATTTTGAAACTTGTGATGTTACACATGTCAAAGTGTTTGTATAGAAAGCTTCTGAGAATAGAAATAGAAGTTTAAGTTAAATTATTTTCAAAATTTAGAAAGAGATTATTCTTTTGGAACGACAGAGGGAATACCCTTTTTTGGGAAGACATAATAACTTGAGGGTATTTTCTCGAGGAATTTACGGGGACTACCTATTAAACTTAAACTAATTACTCGGTTTAACATATTTGAATAGTAATTGCTAAATATACCTATTCCATATAAAACTATTACATGTCATAAAGGAAGTCTCCAAAGGCTTCAGGGGAAATGAACGTATGCCCAACCCACGCGTAATCTTCCTTGTTTCAATCCAAGGTAAGAAACATTTTTATTTCTCTCTTCATTAATTTCCTCTCTTTGTTCTTGCTTTTATTTTCATAAGTTAAATTGTTTATCTGATAGGCAATGTTTTCATGATATTCACAAATTAAAATATTGACAAATTAATGGGTAAGGAATAACTATTACTCCCTCCGTTTCAATTTAGATGAGGTAGTTTGACTCGGTACGAAGTTTAAGAAAAATAAAGAGGACTTTTGAAACTTGTGGTCTTAAAAGCTTAAGGGGTAAAAGCTTTGCGGGGCCATGATATTTGTGTGGTTATAAAAGCTTCTCGTTAAGGGTAAAATGAAGAGTTTAAAGTTGAATTATTTTCAAATTTAAAAATGTGTCATTTATTTTGGAACAAATTAAAAAGGAAAAAACCTCATTTAATTTGAAACGGAGGGAGTATTTATTTATGTGATGATTTTGTGTATACAACAAAAGAGGTTTGCTCAATATGTACAAATTACGATTCAATTAACTCACTACGTGCATGTAGTTTAATTTCCTCTTGTTGAATGAAATTATCACCTATTGAATGCCTTTCATCGCCACAAAACACTCTCTCCCTCCTTACAAATTTCATATTTTCTCGTAATTCTTTGTCATTGTTCGAGTCATTTTTCAAAATTTGATTGTGATTTCAGAGCTTGGAATTTTATATGGTTCGATGATAAGCTAAGCAAATCAGTATGAACTTCGCAAAAGATACTTTATATTTATATCTAAAATATGAATCTATTTTTTTTTTCACAAGTAAAGTTTTTTAAGAATATTATAAAAATTAAAATATTAAATTTAAGCTAAAGTATTTTTTGAAGGAATGAACCAGTCCTCTAAGATATCTTAACGTCATATGATATATATCATGTGGGTATCATAGAGTAATAATGAGTGTTTAATAATTGAATTAATTTTTTTTTTAAAATTCTTTGTGTACAACTGTATACCCTGTTGGTATAGCTATATACTATACTGGTATCATATGTTAGTTGGAACCTTTTTTGGTTGTATTAACTACATTTAATTGGTACACTGTTTGATTTTTTCTTAGTAATAGTAGAATAGTACAATATCTTGAATTTTTTTAATTTTCCTTTATGCATGTGTATTATTAATCATTTTGATTTTTTCTTTATGTGTTTGGTTTATATAATAGTATTATAGTACAATATCTTGAAATATATTATTATATTAATATGTGGTACACTATTTTTTAATTTTTCTCTTTATGCATATGTATTATGTAATAGTAGTATAGTCATATATAGTTGCCTGGAATTAATTGGTAGAACTGTATACCTTATTGGTATAATTATATGTCATATTGGTATCATATGGTAGTTGAAATATTTTTTGATTGTTTTGGCTGCATTTTAAGTGAATTCTATTTTGAAATGGTTTATATTATCATGTTTTGTTGTGTTGGATTTTCTTGTACCTATGGATATAAATTTTGTCTATTATGTAATAATTTTTATAGTTATATGCAGTTGTTGGAACGACCCCGTACAACTACATACCCTATTAGTGTAGCTATATACTATATTGGTATCATATGCTAGTTGAATCATTTTTTGGTTGTATTAGCTGTATTTAATTAGTACACTATTTGATTTTGTTTTAATAATAGTAATATAGTACAATATCTTGAAATACTTTATTATATTAATATGCGGTACACTATTTTTTTATTTTTCTCTATATGCATGTGTTATGTAATAGTAGTATAGTCATATAGTTACCGGAAATTAACAAGTAAAATTGTATACCATGTTAGTATAGTTATATGCCATATTGGTATCATATTGTAACGACCCGACTTGTCGTTTTGAGAATTGGCGTCCCCTTCAGCAACTTAAGGTCCCGAACAACTTTGTAATGTGCATTATGACTTGCGTGTATGGTTGAGTTTGGTTTTCGGATGATATGAGACTAAATTGAAAGAACAATTCTTATTTTTGAAGCTTAAATGAAAAGAGTTGACCGGAGTTTGACTTTTGAGCAAACGACTCTGGAATAAAATTTTAATGATGTCAATAGTTTCGTATGGTGATTTTAGACTTAGGAGTGTGTCCGGATATTTATTTGAAAGTCCGTAATTGATTTTGGTTTGAAATGGAGAAAGTTGGAAAATGAAAGATTTTTATAAAGTTTGACCGGGAGTTGACTTTATTGATATCAGGGTCGAAATTTAATTCTGAAAATTGGAATAGCTCCATTATGTCATTTATGACTTGCATACAAAATTTGGGGTAATTCCGGATTGATTTGATAGGTTTCGGCATCGAATGTAGAATATGGAATTTGTTAGTTTTTATTAAGCTTGAATTGGGGTGTGATTCGTGTTTTTAGCATTGTTTGATGTAATTTGAGGCCTCGACTAAGTCCATAATATGTTTTGAGACTTGTTGGTGTGCTCGGATGGGGTCCCGAGGGGCTCGAGTGAATTTCAGAGTGGTTTCAAATCTTTTTTAACTGCTGGATTTTGACAGCAGTGTGCGGAATTGCTTATGCATATAGCTGACTTTGGAGGCTTATATCTCAAAATCTATAAAGAATATGAAAATTATTAAAACTCAAAAGTTGTAGCCCTTTGATTCTAGTTTCAAGAATGATAAACCATTCATCATTTGGGCAATTGTAAAGAAAGTTATGATCGATTGACTTAAGGTTGGTATTGCAGATTTTGGCTACAGCAGTGTGGATCGCCAGAAATTTCTGTTGCACATAGCTGACTTTGGGAGTTTATATATCGCAATCAATAAGGAATTGGGAGATGATCAAAGCATGAAAGTTGTATCCCTTGGTGTCTAGTTTCCATAGAGTTAAACTATTCGTCATTTGGACATATGTATAGAAAGTTATGATTGATTACTGAAGCATGGTGCTGCAGTTTTCACTGCAATTTCTGGTTGGAAATAAGTTGAAGAAGTAGGTCGCA